TTTTTTTTTTTTTTTTTTTTTTTAATTATCGGCCGCGTTCGGCCGCGGCCTACGTGCAACATAGGTCCTGTCTGTTAACACGCCATGAGCTGCTCGATTCCTACACACACACCCCCCGTCCGACCACACCACACTCGAAATGTGAAAAAGACAAAAATGTGGCGGGTGCATCTGGCCATGTCCCAGCTACGTGCGCTTCCCAAAGCCATTCGTTCAACAGTGACAATCACTCTCTCTTCAACCAGGGCACTCGGTTTCTTGGGTGGTCACAGTAGACCACAGGCGGTTGGGAGGGTAGGAGAGTGTCGTCATGCTCACTCAGGGAGGGCTGTGCTATCAGACCCTCCCCTCGGTCGATTTAGACCGAGGTCAGGCCGCCTACTAGGCCTGTTCCCACACATCTGCGTTCCAAGTAGGTAAGTCTTAGCCTATAGGTAGCAGGAGTACGCAAGGTATCAGCATTAGTTAGTTGCATCATTGCTTTAATACTTGTAGCATTAAACAACAGTATAGGAGGGTGAGCTCATAGCACAGGAAACAGGAATATAGAACGCTCTTCCCCTTCCCTCCAGTTTGCTCTGATATGGCGGTATTCTTTTACTCAAGTAGCGACTAGTGATTTAGTATCGATCTAGAACTTTCTCCGCCTTCCCTCAATGTCTCTTGTTTTGCCTAAACTCAAGCTCAAGTCATCTGGTTCCTATTGGTGCCGTAAAAAGCGAAACTGGCTAATGCTGCCAGGAGTGTGTGTGTGTCACACACACACACACACACACACACACACAGAAGGACGGATCTATCGAAGCGCAGCTGGGTGCCAGGAGGCGAGGTAAGTCATCGTATATCAGGGCATCGCTGCACCACTCTCGAAACGTGCAAAAGGAGGATGAACTTCACGCTAGAAAATCGCCAGATGTACCCATCACATTTTTGTCTTTTTCAAATTTCAAGAGTGTTGTGGTGTGGCCGTCTGTGTGTTTGGGGGGGTGGGGGGAGGGGGCGCACGCACGCGAGATAGGGACAGACAGACAGATAGATAGATAGATAGATAGATAGATAGATACATAGAGATAGAGATAGATAGATAGATAGATAGATAGATAGATAGATAGATAGATAGATAGAGAGAGAGAGAGAGAGAGAGAGAGAGAGAGAGAG